TTTTTCCAAAAATTAATTTAGTAATTATTTCATCTTTTGTGATTACTCTAAGGTAAATCGCTGCCCCAAACGCTATTTGAGATGCGTCCGAAAATGCGTGTATTTCGTATTTGTCTATATTTTTCTTTATTACATTATGTATTTTCCTTTTAATTACTATATTCTGATTATTCCATTCACTAATTATTTTAATCCATTTTTCTCTTTCTTTATTCGTTAATAATTTGTCCCACCCAACTTTTCTATTTTTATCGATTTCCTGACGAAATAGTTTTGCCTCTATTAAAATTGGCGCACAAAGACCCATAGGATCGAACAATTTAGATGATTGGGACAATAATTTCCTTTTAGTTAATTTTTCTCCTACTTCTATTTTAGGAAATTTAATATATATTTCGTCTGTTTTAACATTCCATTCTAGCCCTAAAAATTTTACTCTATCTTTAACAATCCTTTCTTCAATCGGTAATTTATTTATTTGTTCTGAGTTAGAAATAAATTCTCTTATTGGCATATTCGCTTTTTCAAAAATTAATTTTGTTTGTTGACAAATATTTAAAATTTCCTTTTTATCTTCTACTCCTATTATAATATTATCGACGTAAATATTTCTTTCAATTTCTCTTGCTAAATCTGTATTATATTTCTTTAAATGTATTTGAATGACTAAAGCTAAGTGTGCTGGTGAACATATTATTCCAAAAGTTACTCTTTTAAATCTAAACGCAATTATTTTTGAGTTTTCATCCAAAGGATCCTCCATCCATAAAAAACGTGTTACATCTCTATCTACTGGGTCAAGATTTATTTGGAGGAATGCCTTGGCTATATCACACCCTATTAAATATTTTTGAAGTCTTGCTCTTATTTGTATACCCGTGAGATCATTAAATAAATTAGGTCCTTTCTCTAAACATTCGTTTAAAGAAGGTGCGTTCCCCGATTTGGCTGCTCCATTAAAAACCTCTCTTATTTTTGTGTGTTCTTTATCCTCTCTAAATACTGCAAAGTGTGGTAAATAATGTACTCTATTTTCCGTATTTTCTTCTATTGCTATTCTTTCAATTAATTCCATTTTTTCGTGCTCTTTAAATATTTCGTCTATTTGTTTTAAAATATGCGGTTTTTCTCTTAAATTCGTGACCATATTTTTTAATTGAGCATATGCCATTCGCTTATTATGAGGTAATTTTTCTGCTAGACTGTTCCATAAAAGTGCTGTTTGATATCTCTGACCGTCATATGTTACTAATTTTTCCATTTCTTTTTTGACTTCTTCATCACTCTTTTCTATCGCGTCACTTAATCCCATAAATTGCAGGCTTTCTTGTTTCCTTACTAAATCTTCCCATTTATACGATTCCTTATCATTCTGTATTTCTAATGTACCAGTGTTATTTTCATCTATATAACTATATCCACAAATTTCTCCTTCTGTTTCCTTATTTAATATTTTCCCTTCTCCGTTAAGAATATTACCTACTTTAGAACTAGATAACCAAAATCCAGATGGTAATTGTTCTTTAGTTGAAATTATAAATTTATTATAATGATCATTTCCTATCAACAATCTAGGCTTTATCATCTGTAATTCTGCTAAAAGTTTATTTCTATTTAACTGTTCTTTGGGAATTGACTCTATTGACACATAAGGTAGATTATTTAAAACAGTTGGCAAAGCACGGGCTTTTATCAATTTATCAAAGCTCCCTTTTCTTATTCCAAATTCTACTATTGGTTTTTCAAAAGTCCCCATTTTGGTTTTTCCTATTCCCTCTATTTGAAATTTCTTTATATTATTATTACACAGTTTTAGTTCTTTTGCTAGCTCTTCTTCTATATACGATTTTTGGCTGCCGTCATCTAATAATGCAAACTCTTTTATTATTTTTTCTTTATTTAATGGGTTATATAATTTTACTGGTATTACTTTAAGGAGTGACATTTTACTTTCTGGATTTAATAAACACGAATTAACTAAATTATTTTCAATTTTACAATCTGTGTTTATATTTACTCTACAATCAGTTATAATTTCTTTGCCTAAATTCGATAAATCTATATCTTTTAATTCTTCTACTTTATTTATATTTTCCAAACTTAAATTTACTTTTTCTCTTATATTTCCATATTTTTTGCGGCAGAGTGCTGAGTGATGAGCTTTTCTACAAAATACGCACGTTCTTCTTCTCCGGCACTGTGACGCCATATGGCCTTTAAATAAGCAGTAAAAACACAACTCTTTTTTAAGACAAGCGTTCCTTCTCTCTTCTGCACTTTTATATTTTGTGCAGTCTACTTCCGTATGATTTTTAGAGCAAAGAGCGCAAATAATTTCCCTTTCTCTCGATCGGCTCTGGCTGTCCGAGCTGCTTTTTCCTCGGTCTGGGAAGGGAGAGTCTCTTCTTTTTCTATATTGATTATTTCTCTTCTCTTCTTCACTAGAGGGACTGAATGATCTGGATCTATCTCTATTATAATTTTCTCTATTCTGGTTAAAATTTTTATCTCGGAATTTTTCTCTATTTGGACTAAAATTTCTATTATTAGAGGGTCTAAATTGTGCGAAATTTCTATTTTGATTATTGCCATACCAACTATTATTTGTGTTTTTATTTGTAGTTGTCGTTAAACTTATTATTCTTTCTCCTGCTTTTTGTTTTCTAACCGAATATTGTACTTCCTTAACCGTTCTAACGTGTGTAAGCGCTTTTTTAAACGCCGCTCTAAATTTTTCCGTTGACCAATCCTCTTCTTCTTCTATGGATTTTATTGCAAAATATTTATCTAAAACTTCAGCACTTAGTTTACTCTCTAAAGCCATATAATAAGGTGTATCATCTGTATTTTGTTTTAAAGAATTTAATAACCTACATATTTTCTCTATTTTCAAATATAATCTTTCATCTTCTTCAAAACATTCAGATATTGGCAAATTCATTATTTCCTGATTTAGTGACCTTATTAACTTTTTACTATCTCCAAACTTTTCTAGTATTAAATCAATCGCATCGTAATATCCATCTTTTGTTATTGGTATACCCTCTATTAATTCCTTAGCTGCTCCTTCTAAACCCGCCTGTAAAAAATTAAATTTCTCTATTTCCGATAAATTCCTCTCATCATGTACTAACACCTTAAAATTCTCCCAAAAGGAAAACCAACTCTCTATTTCACCGTCAAATTTCTGTATTTGGATTTGTGGTAATTTCGCTTTTATTGAGGTTCCTCCGTGATTTGCTGATCCTACTGAAGCTTCTTCTGGGTCTATATCCAGTCTTTCTTCTATACTATATTTTAATGTTTCCCACTCCGCTCTAGTTTTTCTCACCTCTTTCAAAACACTCGCTAAGTCTAATTCTTCTAGAAATGTCGAAAATGATGCCTCTTTAATTTCTTTACTCGCCGCCGACAATCTTCCTATATATTCAGTAGCTTTTTACTTATTATCATCTATTTCGTAAATTAAATCCCCAAATTGCTCTAAAGTATTTTTAACAAAAAAGTATTGTCTCCGTAGCTGATTTGGCGTAGCTTTATCCCCTAATTTTTTCGGAAGGTCCTTATTTTCTAATTCCTTTAACCTATCTACTAATTCCAAAATTATCCTTTCAAAACTTAGTATAGGCCTATCCATTTTAATTTTATTTATATATTTTAAATTTAATTTAAATTTTTTTTTTAGATTTTTATTTAAATTTAAACACCTTTCACGTCCTTCTTTATTAGCTTCGTTGAACAATTTGAACAAGGCGATTTGAACAATTTTACAGGTCCGTTGCTCGCCACGTATTGAAAGATGAACAATTCGCCTAAATATCACCAAATTAGTCTTTATAATTTAAAGATTTAAAAGAGCCGTGGACTGGGCGATTTAAACCTCTACCTTACTCTATTATTAATTATTGTTATAAAATAATTTTTATTTATTTTAAAAGAAGAAAAGTTTTATTTTATTTTAAAAAATATGTATATGGAAGTGTAAAAGTCAAAAGCTGGGAAAAGCATAAAGCATTATATATTAAAAATTATTAATGTAAAAGATTGGCCGATAAGATCTCAATACCATCTTTTCTTCTTTCTCGTATTTCTTCTCTCAAGTTCACTTTCTTCCGGCTTTTCCTCCATGTCCATGACAGGCACCTGTATTTCCTTGACGGGCAGAACCTTAATTAAATTATTTTTGGTACAATCCACAACATTTTGTAAATTTTTGTATTATTATAATAATTTAGTAGTATTTAATTTATATATTCGATAAAATTAAATTGTAGTTCTGCTAGTATTGACTTTTTTGTGGAGATTTTACGTACACACCTGTGTATGGGATCCCGAAAATTGATATTTCTCAGTATACTGATTTTTTTAAATTGGGAATTTTTGGGAATTTTCTATCATATTTTGCTCAAAAACAATTGCTTCCCATCAATTAGGTGAAAGAAAACGCGAATTCTTTCGTGTAGACACCTTACTAAAATCAAAAGATTTTCTCCTGTACGCTAGAAACGGCCGAAATCTGACTTACTGCACTTTAAAAATTCCCACAGAATTTTTTGTTTTCTGTATCGGAGGGGTCCCGGTATCCACTAACAACTTTATTTCTATAATTAAATGAAATTTTCTCTTAAAAACTTGATTTTAAATTTAATAAATGAATATTTTTAATTTAATTTATGTTTATATTTTTAATTTAATAATGAGAATAAATTTTAAATATTGTTTATAACTAAAAAGTAAAAGAAACACCTAATAGAATTTTAAAAAGTTCAACTGACGTGCTGTACTTCTATATACTAATTTAATAATTTTTTTCTCAAAACTTTAATGTTTAAAACTAATCATAAATTAATGTAAAATACATATGTATGTATACATGTATGTAAATATTTATTTAAAATTGTCCTTAACAAATAAAAAACTGATTTTTCAATAAGCAACAACTATTTAATTTTTGAATAAATTAAAAACTTTTTAACAAATACATAAATAATTTAAATAAAATGAGTAATCAAACTGTTAGTTTGATTTTTAAATTAAAATAAATTTTTTTTTAAAGTTATTCGACATTTATGGTGATCGAGGGCTTCCATTTGGATTAATTACCGTTAATGTTGTTAGAGTTGTTATTTCTACAATTGGTGTTTTGCTTAATGCTGCTTTTGTTTTTGTTACAATAAAAATTAAGTTGGTTCTCGTAAAAATATATCCTTTATATCTTTGTCTGTAGCAGTCATTCACAGGGTTGAGTTGAGCTGCCCGAAACCGAAATCCGGACTTTTTTCTATCCAAAATCCGAAACTTCGACCCGAACTAGTTTCTCAACACGTTCCATCCGTTATTCACATTACAATAAATTCACTCTCGTTCATGAAGTGCCAATGTTCCCATTTTTTTTAATTCAAAATTAATTAAATCCAACAGAACATTAAATTCCCCATGCCATTTACTTCTTGCTTTTGATTGCTTTGTTTCTGCTTGGTATCAATTAAGTAGTTGGTTCTCATTAACTGTTTTATTCAACAATGGAAACCAATTTGTTAATATTCGTTCTTGTTGTTTAAAAATACTTCCTCCATTTCAAATTGGATATACATCCTCATTTAATGCTATATTTCTAATATCAGTAGATAGACTGATTAGTGTGTTATTCCCTATATGGTTTGTAAAAAAAATTAATTCTTACTTTTAATTCAAAATTTCAATTTTAAGGTATAGCCAAAGACAAATTTCTAAAAAATTTTACCTTATCCCTATGCTCTTCTCATCCCTATTAAGCCCAGCAATTATTATCTACGCCCAATTTCAAATTGTTTATTCGGTACAAGAAACTCGGTAGAAACTATTTTTAAAATAATTATATAGAAATATTTTTTAGACAAATAATTTGTGTTGCATCAGAATGCTCCTGGAGTTGGGCTGCCGATTTAACATATTTTTTATTTACTTCATTTTATGGTTTTACGCTAATTAATTATTCAACTGTGTGGATTGTTTTAAAATATAGAACGTGGAAGGCAAACAATAATTTAGGTAAATACCGTATATACTTCATTAATTACCCTGGGTAATTATTGTTTCGACCTCTCTCTGGAGGGGGTAATTAATCGAGAGGATGGGCTAAATTTTGGGTATATCTAAATAAATCGAAAAGGAAATCCATTTATTTTTTGATATTGATTCTTATAATGTTTCAATAATTAAAATTGACAACGATTTTTTCAATATTTTTGAAATTAGAGAATGAAAGGGAGGGGGTAATTATTAAAGAGGGTAATTATTTGAGGGAGGGTAATTAATAGAGTATATACGGTAACTTTTTTCTGCAGAAAATCAGTACATGTCCGGCTCGAAATTCGAAATTCCCTCCTCCTTTCTACGTCAATTTTTTTGTTAAATATGTTAAAAACGGTCATTTTACCAGATCATAGATATCGTTGAGTTCTGTCAAATGACACCAAAATCAACCCCCGTTCTTAACTTTGGGAAGAGATACAGACTCCTGAAAGTTAAAAAATCATGAAGTCGGCTAAGCTGACCAATCTTTGCTGCCAAAAATTTTCCATTTTATACATAAAAAGTTTTAGTATTACCTTTTAGTATCTTCTTATGTGTGGACACAACGAATTTTAAAAACATTATTTGTTATTATGTTATTTAATTTTGTTGGTCTATTTATGAATAGTATTGCAAGAATGGTTGTTCCTCGTTTTAATTTGGATATTACAGATAAAACTTTAATAATTTATTCATTAAGTTGTTTAACTAGCTTTGTTATGTCTTCAAATGCTCCAATTCTCTTCTTTTTTAATTAAGTTTTATTTTAAATTTTTTTGGGGGAAATATTTGGAAATTTGTAAACAAAAATATGATGAAATAAAATTTAATTTTAGTCAAGAATACAGAAAGGCATTTCTGGTTGCTTTTAAAATTAAAACTTCAATTATCAAAGCAACTAATGTTGTTACAGCTGTTAATCCCAACAATCAAAAATTGGTGGCAAACAACTTTTCTACTACTAATTTAAGACCTAATCGGATAAAATAAATTTTTCTTAAATTTTACTTATTCTTTATTGTACTATTATATTTTAATTTTATCAAAAATATAGATATAATTATTAAAGTGATAGGGATATAATAATATTATTTTTTTATAAGTAAAATTTTCTTATTTTGTTTTTTGACATCCATTTGTTGCTTCTTTAATCCCATTCGGTGAAACCAATTTTCTGTTTTTATTACTTATAAAATCATCTTTTTTATCTTCCTCTTTTGAAATATTTAAATAAATATCTTCACTAACTTCAATTCCATTCTCAATATGTTCATTTATATCATTTTCTTTAGAAGTTTTCTTAAATAATTAACAAAAATTGTCTGATTTTTATTTTATAATTATTATAGAATTAGAGACCGGAAGGTACCATATTATCGATGGTATTTTTCGGTTTTGGGCTCTAATTGGAATATGAAGAGGTACTTAAAACAAGAAACAAAAAAGAAATGAACTACAAATTTTTCTTAATAATTTAATTTTAATGATTAGGGTTGGGGTTTTCGAGTCGGCCCGACCGAGTCTTTTTCGAGCCAAAATTTCATGCCCGACTCAATCTTTCGGACCAGACCCCCAACCCTATTAATGAGTAACTACACAATTAAATTCTCTCTCATATTATTACCAGAATTGTAACCCCAAAACCCTATCCTTAATTATCACCCACCATTTCATTATTAGCCCCCTTTTTGTTTTTATTGTTTAATAAGCTTTGAACGAATTGAATAGTAAAATTGTGCATTCTAGGCTTATTTTTCTCGAAAGTTTCCAAAGCACTTTCGCGGCTAACTTTCCATTCAAACATTCTTTGATAGCAGGGACGGACATATTTAACACGTCCAATGTCAGAAACAAATTTTAAAGCAATTGGAATTATTGGTTCCCATTTAGCCTGTAAAGCTACCAAAATCCATTGACATTTACTTAAAATTAGTTTAATTAAATATAATGATTATTTGTTTATAATTATAACACTTATAGTGGAGATAAAGAAGAGTAAATTTTAAATTATTTTAAAAAATAATTAAAACATACACATCACAATTTCCTGTAGTATTTAATGAATATTTCTTTTCCATAATTTCAATACGTTCATGCTAAATTTTTAAAAATAATTTTTATTTAAATTTATATTTTGATTAAAAAATATTATTTTGATATTTAACAAGGATATTTAAAATAAATACATTGAATGAATGATCACTTCCACTTGATATACCCTTAATTTAAAAATAATATGAGGAATTAATTAATTAATTTAATTAACTTACAACATCCAAAAGACTGAAAAATTTTTCTTTTTGTGCAGTCATCATTTCTTCGAATTCAATAGCTCCAAGTTCATTTATTTCTTTATCAGAACCATATAACCATTTATTGGCAAGTGATTTACAAATTTTTAATAAAGTTTCGTCAAAACTATAAAAATATTTTCAAAATTAATTTTAAATTTTTTTAAAACGTCGGCTTTTGGGGAGGCATTCCTGGCCTATGTAACCAGTTATTCCAATTAATTGAATCCAAAATTGAACGTTTGTCATCATAAAATTCGTAAAGATACTAAAATAGTTAGAATTTTAGAAATTTTGAGAATAAATAAATAAATTTGTGGTGTTATTCGATTATCTCCTCCTTAATTTTTCTTTGCATTTTTAATCAACTTTTTATGAATGTTTCGGAATTTTTTGTTAAAGAAGCCCCTAAATATTGAAAAAATAGAGGAATACGCCCTTCTTTGAGCAAAAATTTCTAATTTTGTTCAGAATCATCGAATAAATCTGGATTTTGGTGTTATTCAGAAAAAGTTTAGCAAAAGTTTAGCACCGGGCAGGAATCACCTGCGACAACACTTAAAGTGCTCGCCCGGCCTTGCTTCCACAAATGCAGGTATCAAGGAGGTAAAGGGGCATCGACTAATATTTTTCTCATTTCCTTTTTTTCTCACCCCCGCTGCTCTAGGTGAATTATCCTTACAATTCGACTCTGCTAGACAAATTATTCTGAGAATAAGAAAAGATAATCTGATATGTAGTACCATAAATTTATTTTTTAAATTAATTTTTAATAATTTTCAAAAATATAATTAAATAAATAATTTACATCCATCCATTCATCTGTAACAATTGATCTATAGGCAAATTTGTTAATATAACTTCGAAGGAATTGTTCAAAACGAGGCGGATCTCCTAACCGCTGTTCCAATAATAAAAGTAAAGCAGCTCCTTTTTGGTAAGGAATTGGACTGAAAATTGGAATTTAAATTTTGGAATCATCTTTTTAAAATTATTTATCTAAATTTCCAATTTTTTTACCTAAAAACATCATCAGCACATTGTCCATCTAAAGGAACAATTAATCTAGTAAATGGATGTTCGGGATGAAATGTTTCGTAAATACACATTCGCAAATGATCTTCCCATCCAGATAAATGCATGAAAAGACGAAATTGTTCTCCAAACATTTTCCCAAGAATTTTATATTCAACAAATTCTGTAAACCCTTCATTTAACCAAAAATGTTCCCAAGAAGCATTTGTGACTAAATTTCCAGTCCAACTATGAGCTATTTCATGGGCAACAACGGTCGTTAATGAACGATCACCAGCAATTATTGTTGGTGTTACAAAAGTCATACACGGATTTTCCATGCCCCCAAATGAGAAAAATGGAGGTAAAACAATCATATCAAAACTAGATTAAAATAAAGTAAAATTGTATGATTTAAAAGCTTGGAATACTGAATGGAATTACTCAGAAAACAAGATTCGGGTTAAACAAAAAATATTTTTACCGTCCCCAACGATATTCCCCCATTAATTCTGTTGCAATTTCCAACATTTTTTCAGTCTCCTCAAATTCTCTATGAGCAATATCCACCATTGAAGGTTCTGCCCATACAGCACATCTTTTACTTATATCACGTTTGACTAAAGCACCAACAACTATAGCAAATAAATAGGAGGGAATTGGTACTTTCTTAAATTTTAATAAATTATTTTAAAGATATGTAGGTAATTGCGCTTTATTGAAGAGAATGTGTATGTACGTTTTCAAAATATCATGATATATTACAACGACACCCCCTATCAAAATTAAATTAGGTATATTTTATCACCTGTAAAAAATTAAATTGAACGAATTGTTCACTTCCATTTATTTCTCGATTATTTATTTGACGTCCCTCATCTTCTAGCAAAACGGCACTCATTAAACATTGCATTCCTTTCGGGACAGTTATATTAGCTGTATATGTTTGTTTAACTGCCGGAGTATCCATGCATGGAACGAGTGATTTGGCATGTATTTGCTGGCATTGGCTATATAAAAATGGATGTGTACGGTCTGCTGTTAATGATGATTCTACAAATTGAAGAGCTGAAGCTGAACTTGAAGTTGAATATTGAAATTCGATTTTGCTAAAAAAGGAGGAGGGATATTTAGTTGCTTCTCTCTAAGTTTAATTATTTTCTAATTTTAAGAAATTTACCCCTTCTCCCCTGAACTAAATTGTCCATCTATCAATAAATATTTTCCAACAAGTGAAATTTCTCCACTTCGAGCCTTACATTTCTTTCCATTCAATTTAATTGAACAAATAGTTTGATCGCTAATATCAAGAATCTTTTGGGATAATTTTTTAAAATTATTTCTTTATTATAATTCTCACAATTTTGTCAGTATCCTTCAAAACTCTATAATTCAATATAGCAGAACCAACAATTCTTGTCCTTTCAAAATCAACAAACCAATCAACTAAAATATTTTAAAAATTTTTAATTTAAAATTAAAATTAAACAATCAATATTTTCTATAGTAATTTCATTGAAGTTTGCACAAGTATTTGGATCACGTATCTGAACCATTTTTGAGAATAAATAAAATTAAATAATAGATAATAGGAAATAGGTGATCTAAAAATTTAAGTTTATATTTTTTTATTATTTTAAAGGGTGCGGCAAATTGGCAGCCGCTTTTCTTTTTGATATATCTTTTTTAATTTTTAATCCCCTTTTCTG